GTGAGCACTCTCCAGCCTGAAGGCTGGTGGGTCCTGCCCCTTCCTGTGGCTGTGGAGGAACCTGTGGGATGAGCGCTCCCCTGCCCGGAGGCTGGTGGCTGCACTGGAACCTGGGGCGGTCAGTGGCTGATCCCCCCCCCTCCTCCCCCTTTTCCCTCCTCACTGTAAATATACCCCTGGCTCAGAAAAGTGTTGTATACCTCATGGATTATATTCATGTGTGTGGTATACAAGATTTTTTTTTTACTCAAATAGAAAAAACCGTGGGGTATATTCGGGTGCGGGTTATGTTTGGTAAATTATGGTAGATCTGTTGGGCAGGAAAATGTATTCTTCTTTGAGTGGCCCCGAGGGTGCTCTTCTCCAGGTGTCGGGTCCCATCCCGGCACCGTGAATCGGAGAGCTATCAGAGCCATGGTCCGCCGGATCGCGCATGCATGGATGCCAGAGGTGGTGTTCGTGCCTTAGATGTGTTGCACGTGGTCCGGCTTGCTCAGTTCCTCTCAGCCGCCCTCGGCCATGGACGAGGGCTCCTGCTTGTCAGTTTGACTTCTCAACAGCTTTTTCAAAGAAGCCTTCACATTTGTAAATAGTTCAGAGCGTGATTAGTTATTTAGTTCTTGTTGATTTCTAGTTTAAAAAAAAAAAAATAAGGAAAGTTTCCCTCAGACCGCGACAATCTGTGTGTTTAAAAAAAAAAAAAAAGTGCAGGTACTCCAGGGGAAAAGTTGTTCAGCTATGACCGGAAGTGCCGGTACTGTGTACCAGGCAGTACTATCACAAAAAAAAAAAAAAAAAACCCCTTGTTTGGGTTATGTTTTTCAGTTTTACTTTGCACTTGTCAACAATTAGGGAAGAAGTGGAGGAGAGACTACTCAATTTCTCCCTCCCCCCTAATTCAGCATGCCCCGGTTTTAAAAAATTGCTCTGTCTGCCGGGAGCCTATGCCGGTGTCGGACGGATATGATTCTTGTGTGCCTGGGTGAGACGCATGTCCCCCAGAAGTGCACTCACTGCAGCAAGTTAACGGCGAGGCCTCATAGGGATCGAGACTTGCGCCTCAAACTCATCCTTTATGGCAAGGCACTGGAGTCCAATGCCATACCTGCGCGCTGGAGTCCGATGCCGTACCTGCCTCTGGCATAGCAGCCCAGAAATGGCGGGCAACGTCTCCTGGGACGACCATTAATGAGAAAGCTAAGGCGTCCCCAGTGCGATCCTTGCCTGCCACCACCAAAGTGAAATGCCTTGACAAATCATCAGGGGCACCTGCCCCAGGGCATCAATGGGCTCCTAGGGCGAGGAGATTGCCTGAGCCAGGACTACAAGTCGCAGCGGCACCGGCTCCGGCAATAGCTCAGAATCCGGCATCAGTGGGAGCCCGCATGCTGGCACCGCCAATGGCTGCTTTAACGGCACTGGCTGGGGCACTTTTAAACCCCCTGGTGCTGAGCCGGCAAATGTCCCAAGCGGCACTGCAGGCATACTCTGATCTGCCGGCACTGAGCTTCTTCTCGGCACCGCCAACACCGCCCCCATATGGGGCTCCATTGGCACCACAGCCAGGTTCAGCCCCGAGCTTTCCACCAGCTTCACTGTCTTGTAAAGCTGTGGAGAAAAATCTACAGGGCATTATCCCCGTCGCCTACCTTCTCCCCAGGACCGTGTCCTTCTCTACCCAGATACCGACGGCACCGGGACTATAGCAGCTAGCCTTCTTACTTACTAGCTCCGGATGAGGCAGTGATTCCAGAAGACGCCCCTCCCTTGGATGACCTGAAGCAGTTCCAGGATCTGTTCAAGAGAGTTGTGAACGCACAGGAGATACAATT